TTTGAAGATGTATTTCCATGCAAGTCCAACGAAGGGCCTAGCACGTCAAAACGAACATTTGACGTAACTATGGAAAATACTAGCGAGGGATCCGGAGAAGAACCCGAACCCAGACGTAGCAAACGTGCTAGAGTCGAAAAATCCTTCGGACCGGATTTTCTCACCTACCTGGTAGAATTTGAATCGGATATTCTAACATGTATGGTAGAAAATGAACCAGATTTTCTAACATGTTTGGTAGAAAATGAGCCACGGACTTATACGGAAGCCGTGACGTCTACTGAAGGTCCTATGTGGAAAGAAGCCATCAAAAGTGAGGTGGACTCTATCCTAAAAAATCACACGTGGGAATTGGTTGATCTCCCTCCGGGATGTAAACCTTTGGGATCCAAGTGGATTTTTAAACGTAAAATGAAACCAGACGGTTCCATTGATAAGTCCAGACTTGTAATCAAGGGATACAAGCAACGCGAGGGCCATGATTACTTTGACACGTATTCTCCCGTGACGAGAATAAATTCCATTAGGATGATACTACCTATTGCCGCTTTGCGGAATTTGGAAGTTCATCAAATGGACGTAAAAACCGCTTTTCTAAATGGCGATATAGACGAAGAAATCTATATGGAACAACCCGAGGGTTTTCGTGTTCCAAGCCAAGAATAGAAGGTTTGTAAATTAATTAAATCATTGTATGGATTGAAACAAGCCCCTAAACAGTGGCACGAAAAGTTCGATCATGCAATGTTAATTAATGGGTTTAAGATAAACGAAAGTGACAAATGCGTCTATGTGAAAAGCACGGTAGACGGCTATGTCATTTTATGTTTATACGTGGATGATATACTCATCGTGGGTAGCAATAATCTAATGATTAATTCTACCAAAAGCATGTTAAATTCTAAATTTGACATGAAGGATATGGGGCTGGCCGATTTAATCCTTGGGATTAAAATAATTAGAGGACCTGACGGTCTAACGCTAAGCCAATCCCATTACGTTGATAAAATCCTTACTAAATTTAATAAGGATGATTATCAAGAGGCAAGGACGCCTTTAGATAAAAACACTCATCTTACCAAAAATCGTGGAGAGTGTATTTCTCAAGTAGAATACGCTAGGATTATTGGAAGTTTGATGTATCTAATGAGTTGTACCAGGCCTGATATTGCCTTTGTGGTTAGTAAGCTAAGTAGATATACTAGCAACCCCGGTGATGAACACTGGAAGGCAATAATACGGGTTTTGAGGTATTTACGTAAAACCCAAAACCTTGGACTGCACTATGGAAGATATCCAGCTGTACTTGAAGGGTATAGCGACGCTAGTTGGATATCCGACATAAAGGACTCTAAGTCCACAAGTGGATATGTTTTCACTTTGGGAGGTGCAGTCGTATCGTGGAAATCCTCGAAACAAACGTTAATAGCTAGATCCACGATGGAATCTGAGCTAATAGCCTTGGATAAGTGCACTGAAGAGGCTGAATGGCTACACCATTTTCTCGAGGATATTCCAAGTTGGGAGAAGCCTGTCCCTCCAATATGCATACATTGCGATTGTCAAGCGGCAATTGGAAGGGCACAGAGCAATCTCTACAATGGTAAGTCTAGACACGTTCGTCGTAGACATAACACCATTAAACAACTCCTCACAACGGGTGTTATCACTGTTGACTACGTGAAGTCAAAGGATAACATAGCGGATCCGCTAACCAAGGCATTGGATAGAGAATTGTTGGAGAAGTTGTCACGAGGAATGGGACTAAAGCCCGTGAATTGAAAAGTTCTATAGTGGATACCCAACCTAGTTGGTCCTAGGTTCAAAAGGGACAACTAAATTATAGAGCGAAGGATGGTCACTGTGGGGGTCCCGGACTCCTACCCACTCCTCGTTAAAACAGTGACTCCCGCACGAGGTTAGCAAAAACGTTTGCTTTAATGATTCTAAAATGTTGATCTACTCGATAACATTGGAAGAGTATGCGGGATATTCGTGAAAGAATCACCTATGTGAGAGAGAAGAGGACCGCTTCAAAGGAGAACTGTAAAGGCTCAGTTCTTTAGAAACTCTTGCAGAACCAGGACGGTGACCCATGACCAAAACGGGCACACCCATGAGAACGGAACAAAGTTGGAAGGTTCTTGTGTAAAGATAAGTCAATGTTTACACGACGGCATTATAGTTCAAAGACATCGAGTCTACTAGACAGCCAGTAAATAAACGTGTCTTTACAACGGAAGGTTCAAAGGATAAAACCTACCTCTCCGTATGCAAGGATCATCCGGTGAACACAACATGTCCTCCTATCTTCGTGTCTTTTTAAGTCTCGAAAATCAATTTTCATTCATGTGGGGGATTGTTGGAAAAATGTGTTAAAAATTGCATTAAATAGTCATTTTGGGGCAATTATTTGAGTGGGGTCCACTTCCGATTTGGGTCGGGTCAAAGTGGTTTCGGATTGTCCTTGTTAAGGGCTACAATTCGATATATGGTACGCTCAAAACGGATAACGGGTGAATGAGAAATTGATTCTCGAAGTTCGCTCGTTGAAATGGAAAAACTGGGAAAATGATGAGTTTCTAGTGTGTTTTATCCCACACCGAAAAACTCAAGGGATTTTCACCCCCTTATAAAGGGAAGCCTCTTTTAAGGAGTTAAGATTCCTAAAGGGAAAGGCTCTCTCTTACGCGCAGGGGGGTGCCGATCAAATCCCGAAACGGAGAAGAAAAACCGCGACTCGTATGCACGGGCGACCTGCGGACACGAATGCCGTCCAAAAATCTATCTCTCAAGGGGTCTTCTGTCGCGCACTTCTTCCGTTACAATAATTAATGCCCAACGTTCTTCTCTTTTAATGCTGCGTTAAATGGACAGTTTATGGACCATTCAATGCCCAACGGACTGGTCATTGATGTCCAACGTTCAGGTCCATTAACACCCCATTTAACACACAACAAATCCTCCTATAAATAGCTGGCAGGTGCTTTGCAACAAACACACGGTTTGACAACGCACAACACTTTCCTCACGTTTTCTTGAGCTAAAAACTCTTCCAGCTACTCCCAAAATTCCTTCTGTGTTCATACTTGGTTCTCGTTCGCTGGAACTCTTGTTTGTGTGCTCAAACATTAGTTCGTAGTCATCGTATCCTGGGAAACGATTGTTGCAACGCTCCTAGCACCGTGGGAGGCAACAAATACGTTTTAAGGAAATCGTGCGTAGCACGAGCTTTGGCTAATTCTGCTTCATCTCCTTTCTTGTTTTTCTCTAGTCATTTTATTTAATTAATTTATTTTAATTAATTTTCTTTATTTTCCGAAACACACCCAACAAGTAAAACTGTAATGATATGAAACATATATTAAAACATGCATAAAAGAATATCCTACCTTATGGACTTCTTTGGGCTTCTATCAATCCGTATTTCTTATTAATGTTTTTTATTTGTTAGCTGCTTTTGATTTTATTCCATGTACTTTTGCAAAATTGGGTCATGTATAGCCCCCAATTTTTTCGTTTATTTTTTCTCATTTACTGTTCTCATCCGTTGTATTTTGAGAAGGAATGCTTTCTCCGAAGAGGTTTTCGTATAGTCCCTCTCTTCTTTTATACTATCCCATTCTATTTTAATAAAACTTCGGCAAATGTTTCCCAGCATTTGCGCCACCGATTTTGGTGGTTTGCCTATCGGGTTTAAAAAAACATGCATAAAAGAATAAGTAGCAACTAAAAACCCAAAGATAAGACTGAAAAATAGAAGAAGATATGTTTGTCTAATATTGAAGCCCTTAAGAGTTTCCAGTTAATGCCATTTTTACTAATAACTCGAATGCACTTGATAGAAACATCTATAAATGAATCAATGAACACACAATGATTAGTGGACATCCTTGAGATTATTAATCAAACTCCTTTTCAGTTGGATTTGTAGCTGATTTCAAAAGGGCGATGAATGGCACGGAGTATTAGTTTCAGTAGATTTGCATAAGTTATTAATAGTGTGGTGTTGTACTCATCATTGTAACCTATTCTAAATAAGAGGAACTACGGTTATTATAGATTAATGCAAAAACATAAGGTAAATCCAATGGATGCTCTATTTTTTCTTAGCAGTATTTCTAACTATCATGTGAAACTGCAGTGTGCAACACACAATGCATTTATGAATAAGAATAGTGTCTATTAGAGGAAAGTGACATGATCAAAACTGCAAGTCTGCAACACACAATGCTGTTTGTTTAATCTCGGACATTCATCCAAATGATCCAATAAGCCCGAAGTTGTTTGGGGGCAAGATGCTCTTTAATACTCCCTCCGTCCCGTTGGAATGTTCCCGTTCACTATTCATTGATCAACTTAGGTCACTCCTAATCTTTTACTTTATATATCAAATTTTTATCAAATTGAACTTTTCTTGATCACGCTTTGTAGCGGGTTTAATGTAGTTTCTGAATATGTAAATTTTATTTACTAAAAATAAGCGGAGTGTGAACAAGGATCGAATTGCTTTATCGTCAGTCAAGCATCGTAAACCGAACGGGAACATTCCAACGGGACGGAGGGAGTAATAAAAAGTTTAGGCATCCAGAGGAAGCTTAGCTATTCATAAATAAGGATGTTTGTTATTATCTTTGCTTAGTATGCACTTCAGTTGCTTCTTTTTTTTGCTCATTTTCTTTCCTTAAAGTATGGTTAGTTTTTCCTTCAGAATAGGTGTTTGTTGTATGTACTTTGTTTGCTTTCTTTGCTTGCTGCTTTGCTTACTTTGAGTATGAAAGTTAATTTTATCACTGAAGCATTTTGAAGGAAAGGAACCAAGCATACACCATTTTAAGCAAGTCATAAACTAAGGTGATTCTCGATATTCTTCCTTTAAGCTTAAATAAGGCAATTTTCTTAAAACTCAAGTCAGATTAAGTTAATTATCTAATTGACCTTCTTTTTAAAGGCATGTGTATAACAACAATAGTTGGGTCTTTTAAAGATCACAATAGTATGTAATAATGTAAACTATGCTGATTTTTCTCTACTATGCATGTTATAAAAATTTGATATGGGTAGTAAACCATTTTTGATAAGAGTTTGGGTTTATCTTACTACAAACCAAATTTTACAGGGAATATTGTACTAAGAAGTCTGATAGTATTCGGTTAGATTTATATTCCAATCGTTCTTTCTTACACGATCTGTTTTTTCAAATAGACTTATAGAGTATACACTTCAAGATTAATCGTTCTTTAAGTTTTTTCCCTATACCTTTCTTGCTTTTAAAATAAAGAGGATCTAATACATTGGTTTGGTTTTATTATAAAATACAAAAATTTGAAAAATAAAATGTTTTTGGGTTATCTCTTAAAACTCAACCTTTATCAATTTGTTAAAACAGAATAATATAACCTCTTAAATCTTTTAAGTTTAAAATGGTTTCAAATGTTTAGTTTTATTTATATATTCAAACTTTCCAACTCAAGAACATTTGGTTTACTTTTAAGTTTTTGTGTCCAATGATTTAAGTTTTTAGTCGTTTGGTTTCTAAACAATTTTTTTTCTAATGTGGCTGTTTGGTTTGAAGGTCATCCTGTGACTCCTCATAGTGGTGTGGCTTCATAGTGTTTGATGCATGTCAAACAGAAATGCACCAAAAAGTGTTTATCTGAATAGTTGTATAACCAAGACATTTCCTTCTGATTTAGTTCTTTTGTTCTTCTGAAAGAAGATTGAATCGGCTAAACTCTGTTTGACACCTACCCATTTTTTTTCTACTCCAAAATATGACCAATTGAGCAGACTTTGATTAAGGAAAGAAAATAAACCTAAGTCAAACTAATGCAAAATAAGCACATGTATTATGTATATGTTTTAAGGCTCACTTTATCCCAAAGTTTACAATACTCTTCTAATTTTGTTCTTTAATTTTATACTTAAATTTCAATTTAAATATTTTTATATTAACGGAATGCGGAACACTAGGCAATTAGGGTGTTAAGTATGACCCATTGAGCAAAAAATGATTTTAACAATGACATGGTTTAGCATTTCGAGTTAAGAATACATCTGTTTTTGAATGCTTTATTTGTCTAGGTGCTATTTTTATGATTTGGAGATGACTGCATCTTATTGGCTCACTTGGAATTGTTTGTGCAGCAGAACCACAGATTTTACAATGAGTCAAATGTTAATGTTCACATGAATCTAAAATCAGAGGCAATTAAGTTGATATTAATCACATTTTATGAATGTATTAGCTGGACTTATTCACATAAATTGAATCTTGCATGTTAAACTTTGTTTCAGATGAGATTGTGCCTGGTATGAAAAAACAAGTGTTTTTAGTTTTTCAGTGTTTTAAGATTTAGTGATTTTACTCCATTGTGCAAAAGTCACCATTAACATTGCAAAGTGGTTGTGAATTTGGGTCTTTTTGATAGTTTTTTTAAGTGTTACACTGCATGAGCACATAGGTTATGAAGCGGAAGATTAGTACAGTGGTGGTTAAAAAACCATGATAAAAAATTTAAAATTTGTTTCTTACTTGATATGTGTAACTTAAACCAACTAATTACAAGGCAAGAAATGAAATAAAAACAAATTGGCCTCTACCAGCATAAATGAAATTTGATTATTTAATTGAGCCTATTACTTAATTATGATTTTCTACTATTAATTGCTTCTTATAATTTTTAGCATTAAAGTTGATTTCTACTACTATCTTCTTCAACAATCATTTATTATTTTCTACTATTATTTTTTCATTTTAGAACTAATTTTGGTTTATGGCTTATTGTTTTTTTATTAAATGATTTTTTTCTCCTAACAACATCTTCCTTCCCTTTCACAGCCTTTCCAGAAATCTACACTTTGTGTCCTCTCTCCATGGCAATGTACTGTTCGCAGACTAATCAAAGTCAACAGTCAAACAGATCGGATCTCAAACTTAACACATGCAAAAAACCGCAATAAGAAAAGTAAAGACACGCGATATGTTGACGCAGTTCGGAAGAAAACCTTCCTAATTTGCGGGGTTTCAACAGGGGAAACCCGGTCCCAATATTCCACTAGCTCAGACAAAAACAGTTTACAATCAAGATGGTTGCAAAGCAATCAAGATACAGTACATGCAATAGGTCAGGAATACAACTCAAGAAACAAATAAGAGAAAAAGTTCAGAGATAACCGAATGAAACCCTAAGGTTTCAGAAGAAGAAGAAGACTGCAGGGCTCCGTATTCTGGAACTCGTCTAAAGCTTTCTTCTCAATCCTCAGATTTTCAGGCCTTCTCCTTTCTCTCTAACAGTCCTTGTTAACTCAGGCTTTCGCGCAGAAAACCAGCAGCGGAACAAAGCTTACAAAGTTCTCGACCTCTCTCTTTCTCGCTCTAGGGTTTTAGAAAAATAGGCTCACAAAAATGAATCAGCTGAAGTCTCTGGAGACGGAAGAGGTTTTATATACATAGGGTCTCCTATGTATAAAACCGACACTTCAGTTATCCAAGAGGCCCAGCCCAGCAAATAACCCGAGACCAAGAAAGGGAAGAAGAACAATTTAAAGAGTTCTAAGCCCAGCCCAAAAAGCATATTACAAATAATAGATTGCTTTGTCATCCTATCTAAAATTGTAAAACTTAGCAAATAATTAGAGAATTAGGATTACTAATCTCAACAATTTGCCCTCCTAAGACTCATTCTCACATCATCTTAGTTATAAGGTATCATCATAGCCAGCTTATTAGAAAATGGAATCAGGTCTCACACCATTCATCATTAACCCAATTCTGGGACCTATAGTTCAAGGTACCTCAAAGATCTTGAAGAATTTTCTGCAAAATAAGAACTTATCAGTTTGGACAATTTTAGTACCAAAATCAGCAGGATTAACATTTCCAACAATCTTTTCAATAGAAACATTTCCCTTCGCAATTTCATTCCTTATATAATGAAATCTAACATCTATGTGTTTAGATTTTTCATGTTACATGTTAATCCCATAATTTACCAATCATACAATCATAGCAATGATAAAGAGGCAGATAGAAAGATATGTCGAAGATAAAACGCGAATCTGGTATACCGTATGAAAATCGGCCGCTGCTCTCCCTGGGGAAGGAGAGCAGCGGCAACCCTAATCTCTCTCTATCTTTACGCCTCTGAACTCTAAGCCTCTATCGATTGTTTAGGGTTCCCGTAAGTTAGCCTCCTTTTATAGGAGAAGTTGGCTAACTTACGGGTTACAGGGAATCCCACGGGCTGATACACATTTGTGGCCCGTATTACACTTTTAATTAATAACTACATAAATACAAAGATAACTAACTAGATTGAACACCATAAAATATTCCCAACAATCTCCCCCTTGGTGATCAATCGTGTTGAATAAGCATTGCAGCGCAGATATCTTTGTCTTTGTTGTTATTGAGCTTCCTTTGTCTTTGAACTTGACTTCTGAGGAAGGCTATCTGAAGAAATCCTTGCAATCTCCCTTTTGATGTCTTCTTGACAATTTGATCTTTGATGCCGGGGGTTGAGGGACCTTCTGTATCTTGCATGTAGTCCTTGCCTTCCAGAAGTTGCTCTTGATCACCTTGGATGAAGTCCGGTGACGCCTCTAGAATGAATATTCTTTGGAGAATAGGAGACGCCCATTGAATTCATCTTCAGGACATGAGTATTTGACCTCTGTCTCCTCCACAATGTAGTCTTTTTGACTATTTGGAATGAATGCATTTGAGGAGAACTTGTCGGTGGCACAGCGGAACATAATGATGGTTGATTTGTGAGTGTAGCTGACCATTTGATTTGAGTTGCGGAGATAGTAGAGAGGGTGTTGAATTTTGTGATGGAGGAGTGAAGTGTCCCAGAATGATTTGTTCAGTGTTAACAGCATGTGGACCACTCTCCCCCTCATGACGATCCGATGAATCGGGACGTCATGCTTTTATTCTTTTATTCTGCAGAAATAAAAACAGGAAAAACAAGCAGAAAGTAAAGAAGATAATGTAGCCCCCCGGGGTCGTGAAGACACCCGTTATCATCACTATAGAGAAAAACTCTTTAGCAATGGCCTAAAAATGTTGGTGATTCTTATGTTGCAACAGCAGGACTTCCTTCCAATTATTGGTCTACATCTGTTATAGATGAGCCCTATGGAAGTTCTCGCGGGTCATGAAGACCTGTAACTGACTCTAAAAGTGCGTCTGTGTCCTAGAAAAATTTCCAAACATTTGGGAGTGAGTAACTAGACACGACGTGATCAATGAAAGTTCAGTGGCATGGGGCTGAGGCCACTGTAGTCAGTATTACTTGCCTCGTAAGGAGGTAGTAATGAGAGATGCGGTTCCCCGTGAAATATGATTAAACACCTGTCTGTTGGGAGACAAGTGAGTGGTCTAGGGTAGGGTTGTGCATGCGCCGTTTGGACAAAATGCTGCGACTTCTACCCGGGATCTGAATAAATTCAGTCCTGAACCTATGGGGATAGTCCAGAGTATTTTAGTGGCTAGGAGCAAATGGTCAATTCATAGCAGGCAATTGAGGTAGCAGACTCATCATTGATAATTGTTTCCTTCTCACTCGAGCCTTCTGCTTCCTAATGCTCATAATGTTCACTCACTCGCTCGCTCACTTACGCACTTACGCTCGGCTTTGTCCCTTGGGTAGGCTTAGTTGGGTTTACTAAGCCATAGGGACATGTTCTCTCATTACTTTCTCATTTTCTCTCTGTACTCCCCCTCAACTAGAGCACTCGGTATGTTTTGTCATTGTTAGGCACCGGGGAGGATAACATTGAACACTCCCCCTAAAATGTTGCATCCTTTGAGAGATTCCTTGCTTTGTCGGTGTAAGGCGCCAGGAGGAGAAAACTGAAACTCCCCCTCAGAATGTGCAAGGTTTGATTTCTCACAGCTTATCATACCCGCCATGTGTGTGGAGCAATCTGAACATGTACCACACATGACGGTTTCCCTGAGCTCATCATGTAGAATTTCAGCATATTGATGATCACATAATGTTGACGAGTCAGAGGAGGCTTCAGCAGTTGATTGTTGATTGTTGTAAGATGACCGTTGACGCGAGGTTGATTGAATTATCTACGACTTTCGGACCTTTACAGTTAGGTTTAGAAAATATTTGACCTCAGGGTTGACTTTGAAAGAATTTGAACAGATTTGTCTAAGTTTTGACCTGGACATCGGTGATTTACAATGTTTGTCGGAAAACAAACGTTTTGACCCTCAAAGGCTGCGAGTGAGGGCGCGTGAGATTGGGTTCTGGGGCTTAATGTAGATCTTTGCGTTAGCTTTCCAACAAAAAAACGTTTGCTCAAATCGGATAACCGAGTCAAAAGTTATGGCCAAAACAGTGCGGTGTCGCAGAAAATCTCTAATTTTGAGCTTTTGAGGAAAATCTTCGAGGTTGAGGTTCTCGATGTTGAACTTCGAGAACAGGTGAATTTAAACAAAATTCTAAGGCAAAAACTCGAAATCCAAATCTGGAGATTTTAATTTCGAGTTTGCCTTGAAGAGTAACGACGAAATCCACCTGCAAAACAGACCTCAGAATAACGAAATCTTCAGAATTTCAAAATGTTTGGAACCTCGAAAACTTTGGAGTTTCGAAAAACCTCATAATATCGAAAACTTGATGTTTGAAAAACATCAGAACACCGAAAACTTCTAAAACTTTGATAAACAGGGAATCATTCAGATATCTAAAATGTAAAGCTTCGATGAACTGCAAAGGATGTCAAGATTCGAATTATGAGTTCTAGGAAACTGCAAACTTTGAAAGATTCAAAACATCGAGAAATTCCGAAAATTCTGAATTTTTTTAGAATGTCGAAATCCAAAACATCGAGTTCCTAAAACTCGAAATAAATTCCAAAACTCGCAATTCCAAAACTCTCAAATTTTAAAAACTCGAGGTTTAAAACTCGAGGTCAGAACTCGAGGTTTAAAACTCGAGGTCAGAACTCGAGGTTTAAACTCGAGGTTAGAACTCGAGGTTTAAAACTCGAGTTCAGAACTCGAGGTTTAAAATCGAGGTCAGAACTCGAGGTTTAAAAACTCGAGGTCAGAACTCGAGGTTTAAACTCGAGGTCAGAACTCGAGGTTTAAACTCGAGGTCAGAACTCGAGGTTTAAACTCGAGGTCAGAACTCGAGGTTTAAAACTCGAGGTCAGAACTCGAGGTTTAAACTCGAGGTCAGAACTCGAGGTTTAAAACTCGAGGTCAGAACTCGAGGTTTAAAACTCGAGGTCAGAACTCGAGGTTTAAAAACTCGAGGTCAGAACTCGAGGTTTAAACTCGAGGTCAGAACTCGAGGTTTAAACTCGAGGTCAGAACTCGAGGTTTAAAACTCGAGGTCAGAACTCGAGGTTTAAACTCGAGGTCAGAACTCGAGGTTTAAAACTCGAGGTCAGAACTCGAGGTTTAAAATTCGAGGTCAGAACTCGAGGTTTAAACTCGAGGTCAGAACTCGAGGTTTAAACTCGAGGTCAGAACTCGAGGTTTAAAACTCGAGTTGAAGACCGCGAGTTTACAACTCGAGTTGAAGACCGCGAGTTTACACCTCGAGTTGAAGACCGCGAGTTTACAACTCGAGTTCATGACTGCGAGTTTAAAACTCTCGATTTTAAAAACTCTCGAATTTTGAGAATCTGAAAACTGTTCTGAATAGCCCTGAAGGTCGCGATCCCTCCTGTATCTGTTTCAAGTCAAAATCGTTTCTGCAGCAGTGTTAAAAGCATAAACTCGCAATTCATTGAGAGTTCTTCAAAAAATGAAAATTTGCAGAAATCGAAAAAGAGTATATGCTGCTGGATCGGCTTTGAAGGGCGATTCCAACAGTATAATTTTTACAGATTTTCGTTCACAAACAAGATTACAGGAGCAAAACTCTATATGAAGAAAAAGAGAAGAAAAACAGAGCATTCTTCGTTAGATCCAAGAAAATCGCAGATACATTCAACCTGTTTCACGCCTTGGCTCTGATACCAAATGTTAATCCCATAATTTACCAATCATACAATCATAGCAATGATAAAGAGGCAAATAGAAAGATATGTCGAAGATAAAACGCGAATCTGGTATACCGTATGAAAATCGGCCGCTGCTCTCCCTGGGGAAGGAGAGCAGCGGCAACCCTACTCTCTCTATCTTTACGCCTCTGCGTCTCTAAGCCTCTCACGATTAGTTAGGGTTCCCGTAAGTTAGCCTCCTTTTATAGGAGAAGTTGGCTAACTTACGGGTTACAAGGAAGCCCCTGGGCTGATACACATTTGTGGCCCGTATTACACGTTTAATTGATAACTACACAAATACAAAGATAACTAACTAGATTGAACACCATAAAATATTCCCAACATTACATGGGATCTTTACAAAGATAAATGGCACTTTGACTATCAGAAAAAACAACAGGGGTCACATTTTTTCCTAAAACTTCACCCAGAATGCCCATAAGTCATTTGGCTTCTTTAAAAGCTTCAGTGGCTGCAGTGTATTCAGCCTCTGTGGATGACATGACTACAACAGATTGCAACTGGGACTTCCAGGAAATACAATTTCCAGCCCAAGTAAAGAACCAGGAAGTAGTAGACTTCCTTGAGTCTTTACACCCTGCATAGTCAGCATCTACAAAACCTTTTAGGTCTAAAGATTTGTCAGAACTGTACTTCAGTCCTAAATTTCTAGTCCCAGACAAGTATCTCAAAGTATATTTCATAGCAGTCCAATGTCTTTCTCTAGGGTCAGACATAAACCTGCTAAGAACACTTATAG